CCATAGCCAATCTCTTCTGGCCTCCTTATTTTCATGGTCTTTGAAGGACCCAATCCAGGTAGACTGGGTCCTTGGAGGATGCAGCCTCAGAAATCGAGCGCACCCTTAGAAGCCTGAAAAAAACACAAAATTCGAAAACTAGCTGGCACATTGTTAGAGTTCGGTTGTCATGGGAGAAAGGAAAAATACAAGAACTCAAACCAGATTAGGGCCGGGGTGTTTTTAACAGGTGGGGAAGATTTTCCTTGGAGCACAAAGGACAGATTGGAAAGGGGACCGAATCTCCTTTTGGACTTAAAAACCATGTACACTAAGTTTCATAATGTAAAAAAAACTTTTGTTCGAAAGGGAATAATTTTCATTTATGTTGAGTATTGTTTTTCTTTAATAATCTTTTATGTCAGGACTCCTGTCTGTGTTTGTGTTTCTGTGTTTGTCTCCCTTCCTCCACCTGGAGGCGCCTGGTTCTGGTCCGCCTCCTCACACACCTGCTGATGGTTTCCTCGTTAATGGAGTGTTCTTAAGCTCCTGTTTGCCAGTTTTGGGTACTCTAGCAAAGCTAAGTTTTGCTGAGTCAAACTGAGTTCTTGTCAACCTGAGTTCTAATCTTGTTTTTGTCTTTGCCTCTCGGCAGGAAGTCATCCTGCAAACTGGATTTTTCGGACCTTCTCTCCCTGGAAGGATCAACTGAGCTTCAAACTGAGCTAAGGATTTAAACTGGAGGTTTGAATCAACCTCTCCCCCAAGAGATTGTTTGAGCTTCACACTGAGCAAGGGATTAATCTCCACTACGACCCGTGCAAGTACTGCAGAAAATCTGAGTGGCAGTCAGCTTTCTCCATTCACCTACAAACAGCCGCATTCTGGGTAAACCCTGTTCCGCCCTCCACCAAATCAGACAAACACTGGAACAACAGCACACAGACTGGAGTCAAACAGTCAACAACTTCTCTGGAAACGTGAGTCAGCTACCAAATCCTCCTCTTCTAGTTCACAAATCACATTTCCCACTGAGTCTGAACTAACCACTCTGTCTTTCCCTCACTTTTCAGTTCTGGTTGAGCAGTGTTCAGAGTAAAACTTCTCTCTGCGTTATCTCTTCAATAAAACCTGTTAAATCTTTTCCCTGGTCTCCCTGTTTGGTCTTTTCCCTGGTCTCCCTGTTTGGTCTTCTGCATTTGGGTCTGAACTTTAGTAAAATCATGACATTTTAAAGCTTACTCATTAGCCGGGTAAATCCAACCTAACTTGAATAATGTAGCAGTGTATTTTTTAGGCTTTAAAGCCTAAAGAGTTTCTTCTTTCTTTTAACCCATACAACATTTCTTTTTTACATATATTTTTGACATTCGCATCACCGTGGAACCTCCTATAGCCTTTATATGTTCTCTTTTTGAACTCTTAGCAGTGTCTGCTCCTGCAGAACTGACAAAAACTCTGAGATATGTTGGTCCGTAAAAATAAACAAGATGCAAAATTGCTGGTTGAACCTGTTTAAGAACTTGTAAAAGACTAGAATTGAGGTGAACTTTTCCACAACCTGAGGGCGTCAGCTGCTCTGTACAAGTGTCATATCGGCAGCTTATTTACATAAACAATATATCTTCCAATGATGAAAGCAAAACTAAAAGTATTTTTTTTTTCCACAAAAAAACACTTCCATAGTTTAAGAGATGATCTTCATCTCCATGGAGACTCCACTATCACCATGGAAACTTGTACCTGGATATAGGGAACATTAAAAATTCCCTTGTATACTTGTATCTATGCAGGTCTAAGAGATTTCATTTGGGATAGAGGCTCGAGTATGGAAGTTATGAAGCCTGTTATTTCTGAGGTTTGTGTGTGATTGTGTGCCACTCTCCTGCCAGCACAGTGCCTCTGAAGCGAAAAGATAGCTTCTGATCTGGTTCGTCGAGATGATTGTTAGCGAGGGGACAGGCACGCACGAGTAATCACACACATCTACTGTCTCCCACTGACATGCACCTGCTGCTGATTAAATTTCAGAAAAGCAACATGTTTGAGTCTGGTTCAGAATATCTGTTTGAGGTATGAGTGGGTGTGTGCGCTTGTCAGCCCACATACAAGTGGTTCTTTTAAGCCTGTGTCTCCTCATATCATTTGTAAAAATGTGTCTTCAGAGTAAGCATGTATGTGAGGCGTCTTGGTTAGATTGGTTTAGAAAAATATACGTTGGACGGAAAATAAATGGAACCTCGGCTGTAATTTCTGCTGTCGGGAAAAGAAAAAAAAAGAAAAGCCCCATGATCCCATCAGAAGACTCAGTATTGATATTTTCTCCTTCTGTTCTGTCTCTTTTCTATCTAAGTTGAAAAGAATGTAAAGCGCTTTGCAGAAAATCAGCAGTTTTAAACAGAAATCAGAACTGATTAAAAATTAAGCAGAAAAAAAAGAGGGAGATGAAAGGCATTTGAAAGAAGGCAATTTGCAGAGCTTCTCCGAGGCCAAAATAACAAACAAACAAAAAGAGCTGCCATGGAAGACAGAGAGGCAGAGATCATGATGGAGTGCATGTGTGAAAGTAGGGTAGATGGAGGGAAAATGTGCTCTAACGGGGGCCACATTACTGGGAGAACGAGACAATCTGTCTGAGGAAGAGAGGTGTCACTTACACTGTGAGCGCACACTCATCAAACCCCCTCCCTCCATCCAGCTCCATCACTCCGCGGCCTCTCCGTCACCACCTTACACACTCCATCACCTATTCCCCGATCAACCCACTCTAATCTTTTCTTCTTTCCCTGTAGACTGTGTGCGTATGTGACAAACCACAGCATACAGATTTGCCTCCTCCATGAGCCCCAACAGGAATCAGTTATCGTGCAGGTGCTGCAACAGTTATTCCGTTGTGGGAATTTTTTGGGTTTATCCACTTCAGGCTCATGCAGAGTTTACATCCATCCAGCCACACATCTGATTCAATTTCA